AACAAAAAAAAAAAAAAGTCACTGATGTCTTCTTTGCCTGGAGGTTTAGAATTATGCTGGTTTTAAGTATTTCTGGAACTTTCTTTGGTCGTTAATTTTGGGGAGTCTTAATTTATTTGAGTTCTTTATGTATTGCTGATGTTAATCTTCTAAAAAAAAAAAAAAAAAAAAGGTTCCTATTAGTGTATATGTTTTCTCTTCCTAAATACACTGTAAGCTCTTTCAGACTGGGGGCAAATCTTTTAGAGCAAGAACAGTAGGGCAGAAATGCCTTGGACCCTAAGCCAAGAGCTGCAGGTTGGAATCCCAGTCATGCTTTACCAGGTAATCGTTTTAGCCTCCTCATAAATACTACTTAGCTGGGAGAAGTGGAGTGAAGGTTAATAATGAATGAAAGGTGCTTTGGGCTACCACAGAACTGAGTATATGGCACTAGTCTTCTCCCACCACATCCTGCTTTCAGTTTCCCCTGGAGTCCAGTGAGGACGAGTACGGTCCAGAGATCAAGGCAGGTTAGACGGTTGGCAGGTGAACTGTGGAAGGCAGGCAGAAACAGATGGGCAAGCAGGGAAAGCCAAGGACGCAGGTCACTAGAAGCGCTTCTCCCACTTTAAGGAGAGGACGCACGAGAGCGCGCGCTCGCGCGCGGCAGGCCAGCGCACCCCAGTTGTATCCGCAGTGCCTCCCCGCGGTGCTCACCCGAACAGGTGGCGGACGAACACCCGAACGCAGGCTCGCCGGCTCGGCGCAGCTCCAGCAAGAAGTCCGCAGCCTTCCGTCTCTTCCCAGAAACCGGTGCCTTGTGGGAGCGCGCACGCGGAAGGACGTGAGAATCCCGCCGAGCATTTTCATTGGTGGCCTCTCAACGCAGGTCCCGCCCTCCGTCCTCGCTGAGACAGTTTTGAGGAACTCACATCCGGAAAGGGGCGGGGGAGGCAGGCTAGTGGAGGCGGGGTCAAGATGGCGGCGCCTTTGAGGATTCAGAGCGACTGGGCCCAGGTCCTCAGGTGAACGCTACCGCAGAGCAGGGGTAGAGGAGGCGGGTAGTGGATGTTTCCTTTGCATCAAGGAAGTCATGCTGGCCCAGGATACCCATAAAGTTACCCCATCAATTGTTGAATGAGATCACAGGGTCCAGAAAAAGCTCAACCCTCATGATCATGGGCTTTTCGCTCTGAACAGCCGTCCTGAGGCCGAGAGAACACGTATGCGCTGTGTGATTCCTGTCTGTAACGCTACATTAGACATAATGGACCACTCTGTTCAGGAGACCGTAACCCCTACCATGTCCACGCCGTGTGCTAGATGCTAGATGGAGCTCCCATAACTGCTCTAAGTGAAGGTTCCTGCTCTGCAAGGAGCTGATGTTTTAATTGGAACTGCGCAGTAGTCTATTCATTGACTTAATATGTATTTATTGATCTTGTACTGTGCCAGTCATTTCTCTGGGCAGCAGGATGAATACGTAGTGTCATACATGACAAGCATACTAAGAATTTTTTTGAATTGAAACAATGGTGGAAATGAATGAAACATATCCTCCAGCACTTAGGAAATTTATACCTTATTATGTGGTTCTAAAATACAATACAAATTACTAGAACACAGAATGTGATAAGTAATAAAGGAAGAACAGTAATATATATTCAGTGCTAGAAGGTGCTTGTGAGAAAATGTGGAGTCCAAATCAGACAGACAGTTGATTAAGATTATGCAGTTGGTCATGTGGTTGAGGGTTGAAAAATCTAGATCTTTTTTTTTCCTCCTTTGTGATACTGAGAATTGAGCCAGAGCCTTTGCACTGAACCACACCACACACAAACACACACACACACACACACATGCGCGCGCGCGCTTTTTTTTTTTTTTTAATTTTGGGACAGGATCTTACTAAGTCTTAGGGCATGAACTTGTGATACTCCTGCCTCAGCCTCCCAGAGTGCTTGGATTATATTCATGTACCACCACACCCACTTGAGATCTTTTTCCTTTAAAAATGTAGGACCTCAGTGTTAGGGTGCAAAGATCAGGATTTGGAAGGTTGGGGGATACATTCTAAAATGTAAAAAGTCAGTGTGAGGTGTTGGAAAGAATGTATTTTATTGTGTACCATATTTCAATTCCTACTTAATAGCTAGGTGACTGGGCAAATCACTTCTCTCTGAGTTTGTTTTTAATGTTTAACATGGGCGCAGTAAAGTATCTTGGGGCCAGGGACATAGCTCAGAGGCACGATGCCTGCTTGGCAAGCACAAGGTCCTGAGTTCGATTTCCCGTACCAAAAAAATGTATCTTGTTTAGTTGTTGTGAGGATTAACCATACTATATGCAATGTACCTAGCACAGGATCTGGTTTACAGTAATCCCAATAAATATAAATAATATTGGATTTTTCAAAGTGAACTCTCTGTTAGTGAATTTTTTTATTTCTTTTGAGTGGGGTCTCACTATGCCATTTAGGCTGGCTATGAGCTCACTAGGTAGCCCAGGCTGGCCTCCAACTCATGGCAATCCTCCTGCCTCAGCCTCCTAAGTGCTGGGATTAGAGGTGTGTGCCATCATGCCTGGCTGTTAGTGAAAAATATTGAGCATTTATTTTACAAGTATCTCTGTTCGTTAAATACTTCAGCAAGTAAACAAAATTGAATGTCTTAGAAGAATCTATGCCTGATGGGAGGTTGACTAGATCATGTCTTAAGTACTGTGAACAAACTGGAAATTATATGACCTTTTTTTCCCTTTGTACCAGTGGCATCCTATTCAACTTTGTAAGAGCCTAATTAGGCTTTTGATTGTCTTCATAGGAAAGATGAAGGGGAGGCCTGGCTGAGCTGTCACCCTCCAGGTAATGCTCATAAATCTGTATGTTCCTGCTTTAAAGAAGGGTTTACTACTCCTAGAACAAAGCTCCCACTCTCTGCTTGTCCCCCTTCTTTGCATGTGCTCTAGCTCTTCTGATATCACTGCCACACCTCCATTCCAGCAGAAGGCGTTTGCTTTTCCATTTGGAAGGCACAGCCATGCATGGAGTCATTGCTGATGTATCTGAATTAGTCCTGTACTGTCATACTGTCAAACACTTCTACAGCTTTAATTGTGGCCTTACTGAAGATAATTAGATTTATGGTGTTTGCCCTTACCTCTCTTTGGGTGCAAGCAGAGATTGAACAGTTTGCTACACATTTGTGCTTGAAGTTCTCACTGTTGTATTGAGTAACTTGACTTACTAAAGTTCCTGGACACATTTGTAATCAAATGGATCCTCTTTCTTGATTTTCTCTCTCTTCTTTTTTTTCTTTTCTGTACCAGGGATTGAAGCCTGGGATTACACTCTACTACTGAGCTATCTCCCCAGCCCTTTTTATTTTTCACTGTGAGACAGTGCCTCATTAAATTTTTCAGGTTGGCCTTAAACTTGTGATCCTCCTGCCCCAGCCTCCCAAATAGCTGAGATTACAGATATGAGCCACCACATCTAGTGATTTTCTTATTTGTTAAGTTCTTGTCATTTTTCTAGGAATCAGAATGAAAACCTAATTACTTTACCAACTCATACCCATACAGCTTCCAACTCTTAGCATTTTTTCCCCTGAATAACACTCCTGTGTTGTTTCTGACTATTCAGTTCACATTATAGCCAGTGTGGTACCATTCCAAAACCAAACCAACCTCCCTTCTAAAGTCTGTAAGAAAGTTTTGTTTTACTGATTGTCATTTCAGATGCCATTGCTACATTTTATTTCTTGGAAAAATTAAGTTTTAAACAGTCTTCTGAGGAAACTGTTGTTTCCTAGACACACAGAGGGTGGTAGCTAGAAGATCTCAGAGGCTTTGTTTTGTTTTTCAAGGATGAGAAATTGCAGAAAGTAATTTTAAAGATATAGCTTGAAGTTAGGGAAGAGAAGGACTAACTGCAGACCCAATGTCTACAGAAAAGGGAAGGAGAGTGAATTAAGCCTAAGAGACTAGGATGAAATAAAATGAAAGTGCAGATGTAGATAAATGTGTGTTCATATATAAGTACATGTGAAGATGTTATACAGCCTCAGTTTCCTTGTGAAGTTAGAGCTAGTGTCACCTCATAGGGAAGATTTTTTTTTTGTAAATAACAGCTCTATTGAGATAAAATGTATTTCATGTTAGTTACTTACATGTGTTTCAAGTTCCTAGCAAAAGCTCCTGTAGTACATCTTCTCTATCAAGACTTCTACCCTAAAGTGTGAATTCCTTCATAAGCTCCCCTTCACCAACCTTTTCCATGACTGTTATAACCAAGTTGACACATTCATTGATGCCTCCTTTTCTCTTGTTCTTTTTGACTTTCTTTTATGTATGACATATGGATAAGTGCCTCTCCTCTTCCTTTCTTTCCCTTTTCTTCATCCTAGTCAGGATTCCTTTCAGAATCTCTGGAAAACCTCCCTTTTGTCAATCCATGATGGTTTATACTTCTCTCTTACCCGTAGAACTTACGTTTTTTACTGCAGCAGTTATTTAATGAGTAACTTACAGCTGTTTCTGAACTCAAAGACTTGAGTCTAACTGAGAAGTCTGACATATAAATTGTTTTAACTTGTGCGATCCTCCTGCCTCAGCCTCCTGAGTGCTAGGATTGCAGGCATGCACTACCACACCTGGCTTTTGGTTTTTTGTTTTTGTTTTTGTTTTTGTTTTTGTTTTTTTGATACAAGGTCTAGCTATGTAGTTCAGGCTGTCCTTGAACTCATTACATAGCCCATGCTGGCCTGGAACTCTGGTTTTTTTTTTTTTTGTACTGGGAATCGAACTCAGGACCTTGCACTTGCCAGGCAGGCACTTGTGCCGCTGAGCTGTGTCCCCAGCCCTGGCCTGGAACTCTGCGTGATTCTCCTTCCTTAGCCTCACAAGTGCTTGAATTACAGTTGTGTGCTACCATGCTCAGCTGAGAAACGTTTTTAACTTCATCCTTCCATCTGCATATATTTATGTTGTTGTTTTTTTTTTTTGCTTTGTTTTTCTCTGGTGCCGGGAACCGAACTCACGACCTTGCGCTTGCCAGGCAGGCGCTTTGCTGCTGAGCTAAATCCCGAGCCCCATCTGCATATATTTATAATAGGGATATTTTATTTAGCTCATATGACTGCTAAGATCAGTATTCCACTTTGGAAAATTTTCCAGATGGCTGAAGCTTAATTCTTCACTGTATATTGTATATTATACATACTGTGGATAGGTACATATATGTATGTTGTTTTTCCTCTTTCATCCTAGAACAATTCCATGTCATGGCCAGTAAAGCAGGTTGCTATTACTCTAGCAGCTTTCTCTCCAAATGCTATAGCTGTCAATCTTTGTTCCTGACTTTTAGTCTTTTAAATTGGATTGGCTCTTTTCACTTCACCTGACTTTCAGTACAGGTATCTTTTTTATTTTGTGGCCAGTTTTATGGGCATACCATGTGTACATGCCTGACTTGGGTTTTCAAGAAGCAAAATATTTTTTGAGACATGCTTCTTTTGTGCTGTATAGGGAAACCATCTTTATATGGCAGCCTAACTTGTCAAGGAATTGGACTAGATGGCATCCCAGAGGTTACAGCTTCGGAAGGATTTATTGTGAATGAAATAAATAAGGTAGGTTTTTATGTCTTCTAGACGGCAAATTATTCAAAACTATGGTCAGACCCACATATCTACTTCAGTTCTTTATATTGTTATCTGTGTATCTGTGTCACCCCCTGTTCATTTTACAATAATCATACTTTTTGCTACCTTTGAGTGTTAGAATTTTCTTTTTTTCTTTAGTTACATTTACTTTGGGATGGAATCAGATTTCTTGTGACTTTCCTTGTATCAGTTCTGATAGTGCAAGCCATGTATATAATTTTAAATTTTTTAGTTGCTATATTAAAAAGTATGGAGGGCCACCTGGGCAACACTCCCTGAAGGAGGAGCAGTTGTCTCCATTTTGGCTGAACCTGGCCCTGTTTCCGTGTATTGGTATGTACAGAACTGGCTAGGACTTTTCCTTATCCCTTCATTTCTTTTTTTTTTTTTTGTACTGGGAATCAAACTCAGGACCTTGTGCTTGCCAGGCAGGCACTTGTGCAGCTGAGCTATATCCCCGATCAATCCCTTATCCCTTCAGTGGGTTTTAAAGCAATGCAAATCAGTCCAGCGGAGGTGCTGATGTGTAGTCTTTGAAGCGAAGGGCAGTGTTTTCCCCAAACCCCTGTTGCTCCCAAAGAAAACATGTGTGAGCCAGGGCGGGATGGAGAGCTGTGCTCCATACTGTCAGCTGGGATGGAGCCTCGAGATAAGAGAGTATGACTTCCCAGGGCATAGAAGATTACATATGAGAGCTGAAGCCCTGACCCCAAAATATCACATACTACCTCAGTCGTGTTATGCAGATTATTCTTTCTGCATATCTTTCTCTCTGCATATTGCAGAGGTGATTACAGGCTTCCTACCCAGCCTAGCTCACCTACTTCCTGTCATTCTCACAGTCACTCATCCTCAAGCCACTGCTTCCTTCACAAATTAATAAAACCCAAGTTCAGCCCTGGGTCAAGGCCTTTGTTCCAGATAGCCATCATCGTGGCAGGACTTAGGACCCCTTGGCTCCCCATAGCTACAGATATGCCTCAGTGTCTTTATTCTCGCTGTGGGTTGCACTGGAAGGGGTAGATTGGAATTAACTTGCTAGAATTCCAATAACTTTTCCATGGGATTACAAATATAAATATCCTGGGCAGCAACGAGGACTGGGAAGGGCTGTCTGTAAAAAAAGGTAAAAAGAAATAGATAAAATCAATTGTGCTCTTTTATTTGACCCAATATTTCTAAAATATTTCAATCTGTAATTAATGCAGATTTATTAATGAGATACTTTACTTTCCTTTTCTTAAAATTTGAAAATCCTATGTATATTTAACACTTGCAGCGCATTTCAGTTCAAACTGTTGGAAATGCTTGATCTGTATTTACATTTCATCAAATTTACAACTGAAAACAGATTCACAGTTGGTGAATATGGGAGTGTAGCTTAGTGGTAGATCACATATTTAATATGCAAGAGGCCCTGGTTGCAATCCTTGTACACACGAGAGTAATGCTCCATTGTTTTAGCTAAATGTGTGTGCCAGTTGTCCCAGCTACTCAGGAAGCTGAAGCAAGGAGATCACTTGAACCTAGGATTTTGGAAGAAGTATAGGCAACTGTTTTTTTCTTGGAGACAGGGTCTCACTATGTTGTTCAGCCCTATCTTTAACTCACTATGTAGCCCAAAATGGCCTCACACTCATGGTGCTCCTCCTGCCTCAGCCTCCCAAATGGTAGGATTGCAGGTGTGCACCACCACACCTGGTCGGCAGCATATCTCTTAAAGAAAAGATAGATCCATACCTAAGAAGTTCCAAACCTACCTAAAAATTTTTCAGTAATTGAATTGGGAAATTCATTATCAGATTTTAAGTTGAACTTTAAATAAAATTAAAGATTTCAAAAAGTATTTAAAATTCCATTCTGTGTTTACACTGGTCATATTTCAAGTATTGAATGGCCGCATATGGCTTGTTCCTACCATATTTGGACAGCACAGCCTCACAATCTATGTGCAGAGCCTACATTAATGGTACTGTGTAGTTCTCTTATTCATCTTGAGAAGATGACTAAGCTGTGTTGCAGAATCCATGATCTCCCTTTCCTTACTCAGTTTGACCACTGTAGTGTACTTAGAATTTTTTGGTTATGAGATTTTTTTGTTTTTGTTTCTCAGTACTGGGGATTGAACCCAGGGCCTTTGCATTAAACTACATCCCCATCCTATTTTTATTTTTTTATTTTGAGATACAGTCTCATTTAATTGCCCAGGATGGGCTTCAACAATTCTTCTGCCTCAGCTTTCCAGAATGCTAGGATTATAGGCCTGTGCCATCAGGCCTGCTGATTGTTAAGGTGTTTTGTGTATACTAATAAAAATAGAGATTAGTTGGCCATGTGTGGTGGTGCACGCCTGTAATCCCAGCACTTAAGAGGCTGAGGCAGGAGGATTAAAGGGAATTCAAGGCTACGTAGAGTTTGAAGCCAGGGTCTCACTAGTGAGACTCTGTCTCAAACAAAAAGAATAGAGATTAGGGTTGTTGTTGGTTTTTTTTGTTTTTTTTTTTTTGGTCTTTTTCAAACAGGGTTTCTGTATGAGGTTCAGGCTGGCCTTGAACTCACTTTGTAGCCCAGGATGGCCTCAAACTCACAATGATCCTCCTGCCTCAGCCTCCCGAGTGCTGGAATTACAGGCATGCGCCACCATGCCCAGCTTTTCTGATTTTTTGATTAGTTTGTTTTTATATACAAGGTTTTTAGCAAATGTTCATTCATTACCCTTTTTGTGCCAGGTAATAGGCTACACGTTGTTATATATTTTATGTTTGTTTTTCAAAGCAGCTGTGCTTGTAGAAAGTGTAAGAAGATCTGAGTTTAAATCTTAGTATACTTACTAGCTTTGTAACTTTGGACAAATAACTTAGTTCTCTGAGCCTGTTTCCTCATTTCTGTCACAGAGATAATATTGCACTTATGGGATGACTAATGGGGAGCAAGCTTCCGTAGGGATGAACCTACAAAATGTTAAAAAGTTATTGTTTAGCATAACAATCCTATGGGATGGGAATTTTGAATTTCCATTTTGCAGATAAAAAATAGACTTCGAGGCTAATTAATCTTAAATAACCAAAGTCAGACTGTATACTGGAATTGAAACCCAGTTCTATTGATTACAAGTTTAACACCACCTTGCAAGCCTGTGTTTTTCCCAGGTTTGATGTCAGTATCCATCCACAGCATGGATGCTTTTATATTTCCTTTTTTCTTCAGTTATATACAGACGTAGATATAAATATATATTTAGAGTCCACCAAAAATGTACACACACTTCTGGAAAAGAAAAATTTATATATTAAATATTTTAATACTAAATTTACTGAGACATCATGAGATTAATACAAGTTACCTTTGGTCTCTATAATTATAAGAGGTACTCAAAGTGGTGGTCATTAGCTTCCAGCCATTTTATTAGTGCAGTGAACTGCTTCTTGGGTAACCTTGGTCACTGAGATAGCTGCACATAGATTTTCAGTTTCTTTTCTAAGATCCATCCGTGTAGAGGGTTTTCTGTGATATACGACAACCTCTAGGGTCTCCCATATGAGGGTAACACCATCTGTTACAAGAACATCACACCATCTTTCTTTTCCTAAAATGTGTATACATTTTTTTGACAGGTTCTATGTCCCTGGACTCTACTTTGGGGTTTTTTTGTTTGGTTGGTTTTTAATTTTAAGACAAGAGTCTTCCGAAGTTGTCCAGGCTGGGCTCAAACTTGCAGTCCTCCTGCCTCTGCTCCCAGAGTGCTGATATTACAGGCTTGTGGCACCACGCCCAGCCCCAAAATTCTGTGTTTCATATGTGTAGTGCATCTGAGTCCAGTGTCTACTTTTAACAGGAAATATTTAATCTGTATTTCTTCCCTTCATACCCAGGCCAGGATACAATCCTTATCTCTTCAAACACCATTGCTAATTTCTGCTGTGACCTGCTGGGTGGGGTCAGACAGTAAGTGCTTATGGTTGAACATTTATTTGTTTCCTAACTGCCATGAGTCACTTTGCTATTTGATGTTGCTACTTTGTTCTGTTAAACATCAGATCTGTCCTTTTGCTTAAATGCCTAGCCCTAGAGGATTAAAAAAAAAAAAAATTGACAGAATTTTATCTTAAGGTGGCACACTCACACTTCTTCCCCTTGAGTTTTATCTGTTTTGATATCTCCTGCAGCTTTTCTTTAAACTATTTTCATTAACAGCATGCTTGTCTACTGCTGACATTGGAAGTAGTTCAACATTTATCTTCCTTCGTAGTCTGTGTAAAGATTAAAGGTTCATTTGCACGATTGATAAGCAGGAGAAAAACACTGATTCTTGCAATCTTTCACATAATTGGCCCCTAAGAAATGAAGTCTTCAGAGAATAAACTCAGTTCTTACAGAGACCTGAACACTAAGCTTTTGGGGCTCCTTGTATCCTTGTTGGTCCAATATTCAGCCAGGAGATTTTAGCTGATGCTTCAGTTTCTGTTACTGGGAGGCAGTTCCAAATCTAGGTCAGCTATCTTATAGCTATGTGGGCTTTGTCACAGGATTGTGAATGAAAACTCAGGCAGCTGAGCATGGATATGCTGGTTAAGAAAATAATGTTCATGTGGATAAGTTAACTGTCTTTTAAAAGGAATAATGACCCATAATAAGTACACATTGATTTTCTTTTTTTTTTTTTTTTTTGGTTTTTCTCCGGTACCAGGAACCAAACTTATGACCTTGCACTTGCCAGTCAGGTGCTTTGCCGCTGAGCTAAATCCCCAACCCCTACATTGATTTTCAATGATGAGAATATTATGATTTTGAAAGTGTTCTTTTAGTGAAGTATGAGGGCCTGTATCTGTTGGATATAAAGTAGTTCAGAAAAATCTTGATTGTAAAAGACATTTCCATCAGGCGTGGTGGCACACATCTATAAGCCCAGCACTTGGGAGGCTGAGGCAGGAGGATCATTGCAAGTTCGAGGCCAGCCTGGGCTACAAAGTGAGTTCAAGACCAGCCTGAACTGCAATAGTGAGACCCTGTCTCAAAAAGACAAAATAAAATAAAATAAAATAAAATAAAAGACATTTTCATTATCCTAAGGAATTTCCAGAAACTCTGAAGTACTACTGCAGAAGAGAGCACAGGTTAGGGCCTTTTGGTGAGTGTAACTTCTCAGCTTTTCACAGACATAAGCAGTTAGGTGGCGTTCTGTTAGAGTGTTGCTGGTACTGGCGTTTTATTAGTTTGTGAAGGTGATGTTGCATTGCAAGAATCCTTGAGCAAGAGTTTACCAAGCCCTTTATGAGTCCACTACCTATTTACATAAAATGGTTATAAATGCCTTTTAACGCGCTATAGCACCTAAATTTAACATCTGGTTCTGTGTATAAAGAATGTAATAAAAAATATGGTAAACGTTTATAAAAGTTTATTACAGTAAAAGACAGAGTGCCATTAATACCTTTCAGAATATTCCACCTCACTTCAAGCATACTTGACCCATATTCTTACCACTTTCTGAAGTAGTTCTGTAAGTTCTCTTTTGTGTCTTTAATTGCACTGTTGTAGCTGCCTTGATGTCTTGGAATCTACGCAAAACTTTGCAAAACTTTGACGTTTCATGGTCATTTTGACTTTGAGCAAGAGCCATAAGTTGTATAATACCAGGTTCAGAGGAGGATAAACCAAAATTTTTTTTTCCTTGCCTGCCTTTCCATTGGACGGCATTTAGCAGCAGCGTTCATATAATTTGATCACATCTTGTAGACACTCATAAGAGAGGGCCTCTAAAACTGCTTTAGAAAGTGGCGAGAATGATGGAATATGTGTTTGAAGAGAGAATATTTTGAGGGGATTAATGTGTTTTTCAGTGTAGTAAAACTTTTTTATTTAAACATCCACTGTGACTGGGTATGGTGGCACATGCCTGTAATCCCAGCACTTGGGAGGCGGAGGCAGGAGGATCACTGTGAGTTCGAGACCAGCCTGGGCTACAAAGTGAGCTCAAGGCCAGCCTGAACTGCATAGCAAGACCCTGTCTCAAAAAGACAAAACAAAACAAAACAAAACAAAAAAAAACATCCACTGTGTATTTGTATCACATAGTCAAAACACATGGAACCCTATAACAAAGCTTTGGGATAATGGCCAGTCTCTGATCATATGTGGTCAGGTTAGGTCCTAGTTGGGAATGGGCACTGTAATCTTGATGTAGCTCTAGACATTATATGGGTATACCATAATTTACTTTAAAAGTTTTCTCTAGTAACTATAAATGTTAGTAGTCTAACACTTTTCTTAGAAGTTCTTGTGGGCAGCCAGGTATAGTGGTGCACCCCTGTGATCCCAGCACTCGGTAGGCTGAGGCGGGAGGATCACCAGGAGTTTAAAGCCAGCCCAGGCTACATGATGAGTTCGGGCCCCGCCTGAACATAATGAGACCCTGTCTCAAAAAAAAAAAAAGAAAAATTCTTGCAGGCAGCAAATTTACTCAGATTACCTTTCAGACCCTAGGTTTAGGGGCTGGTGCTGTTTCCTCACCTCTCTCAGCGCTTTACTGCTGATCTTATTCCTTGCCCAACTGCTGACAGTATTTGTGTTTGATTTTCTTCAGCATATTAATGCTTTCTTGGTTTTCATTTGTATTTTATTGTTGGTCTATCTTCTGTGGGACCATTTATGTCCACATAAAAAGATAATGGCACCTCAGCAGCACCATCTTGCGTTGTGGCCCTCTGCAGTGAAGGGATTTCTGAGCCAGGAGGAGTGAGAGCCTTGTGCACTGGGATAGGAGGATTAGCACAAGTGCATTTGAAAGATGAGAATTTCCTGTAGTCCTGATGTTTTCTCTAAGAGATTTTAATTACACTGGAGTGGCCTCATTGGTGGATTTTTATCTTTTCTCTCTAGAAAAGCATTCATATTTCGTGTCCAAAGGAAAACGCATCTTCAAAGTTTTTGGCACCATATACTACCTTTTCCAGAATTCATACAAAGAGTGTGAGTATGTAGATAAAGAGAAAATATACTAGTGTGCTTCCCCCACCCCATTTTGTCTGCCTGTCTAGTGCCATGTACATATTTGTAATTAATGTGTCTTTCACTTACTTTACATATAAGGTGATAGAGCTGGTGAATTATAATATGTTTGGCATAACTGGTACTCAAGTCCACAGAGAGTATGTGTAGAAAGGCACTTGTTGTAATCTTAGAGGTTGCATGAAATTTCCTTAAATACATTTTAACAAGCCACTTACCAGCTTTTGGATAATGATAAAATAGCTGATGCTTATTACCTAGCCTGCTAGACAAGAATATTTTCTCAAAATTCCAAATGTACCATACTGAGGAATACAGTAGTACCTCAGTTCATGAACTTAATTCTTTCAATAGTTCTGGTCACAGACTGAATTGGACGAGAACAAAATCAAATTTCCCCATAAAGTTAATATTGAACCTAACCATTGAATTTGATTTAGTTCTCATCAGATATGGTTTGTGACCAGAATCATGGCAAAAATTAAGTTCATGAACCAAGGTTCCACCATAGCTTTATGTTTTTGTAATAAAGCCTTTCTACTACCATGGGCCTTTTTGAAGCAGAAATAAAAAGTGATAGACAAACTGACTGTATTAAAGCCTTCTATATCTTTATGTTACATTTTTTATTTTTATTTTTTAAATTAATTAATTAATTTGGCTTTTTTGAGATGGCTTGATTTGTAGTGCAGGCTGGCCTTGATGTATGTCACTGTGTGGCCCAAGCTGGCCTCGAACTCATGGAATCCTCCTGCCTCAGCATCCCAAATGCTGGGATTACAGCCATGTACTACCATGCCCTGTTTTATGTTGTGTTTTTTTGTTGGTTTTTTTTTTTTGTTTTTCTCCGATACCGGGAACCGAACTCACGACCTTGCACTTGCCAGACAGGCACTTTGCTGCTGAGCTAAATCCCCAGCCCTTATGTTGTTTTTGAAAAGCCGTTTTTGCAGAGTATGGTTAGCACACATCTGTAATCGTAGCACTCAGAAAGATTGCTTTGAGTTGAAGGCCAGGCTGGGATACATAATGAATTTAAGAGCAGCCTGCACTACATAGCAAGACCCCTCTCTCAAAACAACTAATAGAGAGAGAGAGTAAAAATAAAAAGCTATTTCACTCTTATTGCAAAATAAATATATTTTTAGTGATGAAAATTTAGGGCATGTAAAAGAAACTAAAAGAATCTCTTCTTTAAAAGAATCACTCTTATTTCTATAAACTGAAGATAACCATTGTGAACTTTTGTTATATAGCCTTTATTAGTAATAATAGTGGTGATATGTAACATTTATTGATTGCCTTCTATGAGTCAGCACCATGGAGATTTCTACATATTATTTTACTTTATCCTTTCATCTCTTCTTTAACCAATTTACCCAAATCGTGTTTATAGTAATGCTATTTTATATCTTGTTGTTTTTTTTTTTTTCTTGAGACAGGGTCTTGCTATCAGTTCAGGCTGGCCTTGAACTCACTATGTGGCCCAGGGTAGCCTCAAACTCACAGCGATTCTCTTGCCTCAGCCACCTGAGTGCTGAAATTACAAGTACGGGCCACCATGCTTGTTATATATATATTGCTTTTTAATTACTTAATTATATATACATTATTCTATATTATCTTACTAGTATTATTTTAAGAGTTCCACAGCTGTATAATTTTTTTGTGATTTATTTCCAATCTCATATTACTGGACATACGGGTGTTTGGAATTTCATCATTTTGTGTTTTTATGAGTATAGTGTCTGTATAGACACTGCTATACAGAGATATATATGGAAATGCCTTTGCTCTTACTTGAATCCTCCTAGTGTAAGTTGTTTCCTAAGATTTAGGGGAAGTATACTAAAAAGTAAAATGGCAAAAGATGGAAACTGGAAGTTGACAATGAGGTGGGAAAAACCTTTTAGTTGAAGCCAGAGACTGCATATGATTACAGGAATACCTTTTTTGTTTAGAGAAGGAAAACATGTTGGCCTCAGACTGTTGAGAGTGTAGGGACAAAAGCTCAGCTTTCATATCAAATGTGGGTTCTTCATGTTGGGAAGCAGAGGCATGAAGAAGTTTTGAAGGGATATGAAACAAAAGGTGATTTAAATGTATTTCAAGGGAACAAGAGCATTCATACTCATATCATTGTTTTATCTTTTGAACAGATAACATGCCTGGACATTTCCAGTGGAGGAGGCCTTGGTGTGTCGTCTAGTTCTGATGGGAGCATGAAGATCTGGCAGGCTTCCAATGGAGAACTCAGAGTAAAGGATTTGAATATATTTTTAGAGTCTTTGACTTGAAGGGTAGCTGGACCGATTGATAGAAAAATGGCCCATTGTAAAGATACAGGACCACTGCGCTTCACTTGACCTTTGTTTTCCCATTTGTTAATCAGGGAACTGTTCTCAAGATTAGTGATTTGCCAGACAGAATGGGGCTGCAGCAGTTGAACCAGACCAGTGAATGTCTTAAGTAGGTGAGCCCTTGGTTTCAACTGCCTTCTCTGGTCACTTTCTAAGGCAGCATAGCTAGGCTGTTAGACTGAATATATGGCTCAGCCTCAACCTTCCAGAGCATTTTAAGAGATGAATAAGAGAGTCACATGCCTCTTCAGCTCCTAATTTTTAGAATTAGACCTGGGGATAACTGTGAGAGCCATGGAGTTCAGTTGTATAACATCTATATCTTAATCTCAAGAAAGGAAGCCAGCAACTATTAGAACATTACTTGTTAGATAAATGAGCTAAAGTGATCCTTTGGACAGCTTTTTTAAAAAAAATGGAGCATGAAGGAATAGCATGTAGGTACCTTATATAAGGGACCAAAGTTACGGGAAATGAGAGAACATCGAGATGGACAAGAGAACTAGCGTGGCATTTTCTTTTGTTTTCCAGAGAGTGTTGGAAGGACATGTATTTGATGTGAATTGTTGTAGGTTTTTCCCATCAGGCCTTGTGGTTCTGAGTGGGGGAATGGATGCTCAGCTGAAGATCTGGTCAGCCGAAGACGCTAGCTGTGTGGCAACCTTCAAAGGGCACAGAGGAGGTAGGAAAGGCTTTTCTAATGGTCTCCATAACAGATCACTTTGATGACAGAAACAGGAGCTGGGCATGGTGATACACTCCTGTAACCCCAGCACTTGCCTGTAGTCTCAGCCCTCGGGAAGCCGAGGCAGGAAGATCGCTGCGCGCTTGATGCTAGCCTGGAACTACGTAGTGAGATCCTATTTCAAAAAATAAAAAAATAAAAAGATAGAAAGAGAAGCCAGTTATTCACAGATATACACATAAGTCATCCACCAGGCCATTTGGATGAGTTGCTGTTTCCCCAAGGACTAGCAATTCCTTTGCTAGTCTTATTATTGCTATCTAGAGCTGTCCTACACAGATGATTGTTTTCTTTAATTGATAAGTGAAAAAGAAAAATCCTCTCCAGGAGGTCATCTGCTTGTGTGCTGGAGAAAAAAGAGAGTGGGACAAAGAAAAATCTACATTTTCTTCTTATTGGTCCTTTGGCTGTGGTGACAGTAAAACCTAGGTGGTAAATGGCTTCATCACCAGGTATCAAAGATAGAGCTTGCTACTGAGTGTTGATTACCAGGAATTTAAATGATAGTTCATATTTTAACAATGGATTTTCCATATAACTAGATAAGATCAAGCTGTAGAGACAGACTGAGAATATCTTCCCTTTGTAACTGATTAGTTGGTTTGTTGAAAAGACGTAATTTAGAGATGTTTTATCCTTAATTAGAATATTAAGAAGGCAATAAAACCAGACGTGGTGGCACACACTTGTGATTCCAGCATTCTGGAAAGCTCTGGCAGGAGGATTGAAAGTTTGAGCCCACCTTAGGCAGTTTAGTAAGAGCCAGTCTGAGGATGTGGCTCAGTATGAAAGCTCAGTGTTTAGTCCCCACTACTGCAAAAAAAGGAAAAAGAGAAGAAAAAAGAAAGAAGAGGAGGAAGAAAGAGGAGGAGGAAGAAGAGAAAGAGGGAAGAAGAAGGAGGAAAAGGAAAAGGGAAAAGGAAAGAAGGAGAAGATTACAAGATTATAACTTTGGAGATTTCCAAAATATAATAACATTCTCAAATAATTCCTTATCTTATGTCCCTCCATCGGAACCAAAGTAACATTTTCTATACACCAATTTGGGAATGAATTATGGATATCCCTCTACTTGTGATATTTGCACCTATGTTTTTACTTGGGAGCCCCACTGCACTGTACCTGCTAACTACTAACTGGTTGTAGAGATCAAATTTTAAGTTTTAATATTTCTTTAAATATATATATAATGGTTTATAAGATACATGCAGATGATCTGGCAAATATACATGTCAGCTTTACCAAAAAAAGGGTACATTGAGGGGACAGAAACAATATTTAGAGCCTTCCTCACATTACTAAAGAACTCATTACTTCTTTTTGGTTTTTTTGGTTTTTTTGTTTGGTTGTTTTTGTTTGTTTGTTTTGTTTTTTTGTCTTTTTGAGACAGGGTCTCACTATGCAGTTCAGGCTGGCCTTGAGCTCACTTTGTAACCCAGGCTGGTCTCAAACGTGCCTCAGCCTCCCAAGCGCTGGAATTACAGGTGTTCTTAAATAACCTATAAGTCTAAAGAGTCAGAGGTGCCTGTAAAGTTTGGGAGCCAGGAACCACAGGAATAGGAGAAACCCTGGAGGACTCATCTTAGGTCTGGCCCTCTGTCTGAACCTGTAGGCCCAGGAGACTTTTCAGTGAAACAAAGCATGACTCTGCGTGTTGAACCTAGCAAGGCGCATAGTCAGCGTCAGCGTTCACTTAGCTTATGAACACCTTCGAATCACTGCAGTTACTGAGTAGGCTGCCACATGAATCATCATGCTGTCTCCCCACATTCACAGTTAAAGTCTCCCTGAGAATACATAAGTGATCCTTAGCTTAGAATGTTTGTAATCTGACAGAAGCCTTTGCTTGTATAGTTTTTCCTTTCTTTCAGCCTTGTGAGAAGTTTGCAGGGTGGGAGTAGGGACTTCTGTGATATAGCAACTCTGACCTTTTTTTTTTCCTTGAGAGGGGGTGTTTTTCTCAGATTGAAGAAAAGTGACATGAGGTCAGATCTAGGCTGATGGCTGTCAGATATTGACTATTCCTTTCCACTTAGTTCTATAAAATAATCCCAGGTTTCAGTTACTTATTCTTCCACAACCCAGAACAAAAGTCAGGATTGATTGCTGATGACACCAACATAGGAGCCACTGGTCCAGCCAAGTGGTTTCTTAGTTGCTTTGTGTGGCTCATTTTAAATAATCTCTTGAGTTACAAAATTTTGAAGCATTTTATTAGTCACAGCCACAAACCATATATGAAAACAGAATAAAGAATTATTATTACTTGCATTTGTTATATATCGTTTTTCCTTTTATCAGTGCTGGGGTCAAACTCAGGGTCTTGTGCCACTGAGCCACATCCCCATGTTGCGTTTCCATTTTTTACCGTTAATGGCTTCTCATAAATGGTGAGAAAATAGGAGAAGCAGAGCTAAGCATGGTGGCACAGCCTATAATCCAACCTATAATCCCAGCTCCTCTCCAGGCTGAGGCAGCAGGATTGCAGGATCCAGGCCAGCCTGGGCAACTTAGTGAGACCCTGTCTCAACATGAAATTAAAAAAGAGCTATGGATGTCGCTCAGTGGTAGAGTACTTGCCTAGCATGTAGTTGGACCTGGGTTTAGTTGCCAGTACCTCACAAACACAAAAGAAGCAGGGATTGTGTTGAAAGCAGATATGGTTCTTTATTGCCTAAGGTGTTTCTTACAAGCAGAACAAAGCAAAACCATAAGGAAGTCTCGACTCAATGCACATAGCCTGATGCTGATGTTAGAGAACTATTAGACACTTATTAAGCAGTTCTGTGTATAGATCTGTTGTGAAGGATGAGCTTTCGTTAGTTTAATTGCTTCCCTTTCTAGGATATGAAAACATGATACTAAGGGAGACAGCATAGTAGAATAGTTAAGTATGGGATTTGGAGACAAATTTTGGTTTAAATCTTAATTCTGCCACTTATAAAATGTGACCTTGGGAAATTATTCATTTCTCTGGGCCTCAGTTTCCTCATGTAAAATGAAGATAGTATTAAATGCAATGGTATAAATGAAAGATTTAGTATAATCCTTAGTACATAATAAGTACATAATAAGTATTTTTATTGTTTACATAAAATATAAAATTAAGTTTTAATACTTGCTAGAAAATAGGAGCCTATGGCCTGTGATGTTTTAATGTACTTGTCAAATGTAAAAAGCAGATATTGTTATTTCTAATAGAATAGACATTTTCCAGTAGAAACAAATACAATTCTAGTTGATACGTAATTGGTGCCTCTAAAATTTTATACATATTCTTTAAATATATATGTGACTATAAATATATATTTGAATATAGATGATTAAAGGATTAGAATTTTTAAAATTAACAAACTAAGGTAAATTTTCTGTGTGTTCTGAATCTCTCAAATGGAAAATAAATGTAGTTCTGTGTCTCTAATATATGAGTTAATTAGTTTGAAGTTAAATTGCCCGGGTCAGCCGGGCGTGGTGGTGCACGCCTGTAATCCCAGCACTAGGGAGGCTGAGGCAGGAGGACCGTTGTGAGTTTGAGACCAGCCTGGGCTACAAAGTGAGCTCAAGGCCAGCCTGAACTGCATATTGAGACCCTGTCTCAAAAAGACAAAAAAAAAAAAAAAAAATTGCCCAGGTCATTTAATTAAACTTGATGAGTTTAAGCATACAGGATTTATAATCCTAATCTTGTGTAGTGAATGTTACATCTTTTCATATTTTATGAAACATTGAGACCAAATTAAACCCTATTTCATTTGACTAGTTGGTTAAAGGTTGTATTTTTTATTTTTTCTCTTTCTTATATAGTGGAAATACTTACATTTGTAGAATAATTTTAGGAAATCTGCTTGCATTTTCAGCACCTGAGCCATTACTTTCAGACTGTTAGGTACTTCCTTAGAAATGGGGTATACTACCTTCAAGTAATAGTGAAGGGGGAAATTAAAAATTTTAAATAAAAGCCTACCCAGGACGCCCACGGAGACCAAGCAGACATGTCCAGCAGGCCCAATAATAGAACAGTCCTTCCTTTGTATAAACTCGTCTTTACTGCCTGTGTGTAATTGATGGCCTTGCGATGTAACTTGAGATATTTAAACTCCCTTAGCAACCCATGATGTCACTGAACCCTCCAATTGCATGTGGCAAATCTGCCTTTTTACCTTCCTGCTTGCCCTCCCTATGAAAGTCCCCAAACCTGGCTGGACAGGGCTCTGACCCTGACTTTTTGAGAGAGAGATCCCAGTCAGGCCCACCATTGTAAATAAACTGCCTCCTAAACGTCGGTGCTGATTCTTCCAGTGTTGAGTCTGTTTTCTGTAACAATAGGAGCTTCATTTTATTTTATTTATTTATTTATTTTTTGATACCAGGAATCAAACTTAGAACCTTGCACTTGCCAGGCAGGTGCTTATGCTGCTGAGCTATATCCCCCGCAAATGAAGGTAGTTATTTTATTTTATTTTGTGGGTACTGGGAATCTAACTCAGGACTTTGTGCTTGCCAGGCAGGTGCTTGTGCTGCTGAGCTATGTCCCCGGCCCTAACAATAGGAGCTTCAAGCCTCAATTTTTTTCATGATCTGAGTCAGCGGTTAATTTTCTCACATACATACATGTGTATCTGGCTCTCTAGCAACATTAAAATGACTTAATGTGAAAGTAAAACTAGGTAATTTTTTTCTTTTTTTATTTCAAAGAGAACAAAAACAATAACAACAACAAAGACAACAAAACAGCACAAAAACAATAAAAATGATACAGAATTTCAAAACAAAATGACTGAAATTAACAATGGTTGTTATATTACATATTGTTATTTTCAACGAAATTGCTCAGATTACCAGATACAAGAATGCAAGATTGATCAAATAAAAAGAATAAAAAGTAATAAAAAGAAACATTAGAAATGATGCAGAGCTTCACTGAACAAGATGGTAGGCATTCAGCAGTGGTTGTTATATTGCATATTGTTGTCTTCACATTAGTTGTTCAGATTACCAGAGATAAGCATGTAAAATTGCTTAAGAAAAAAATTTAAACATTAACTGTGCCTTTCAATAAACCATTAGACATCAGCAGTACAATTATACCAGCTATCCTTATATATATATATATTTTTTTTTTTTCCCCTTCTTTCTTTTCTCCTTTCCCTCGTCCCAGTTGTTCTTTCTCTTTGAATAATTTTTCTCTTTCACAATATCTACTCTACCTTTTGGGTTTTATTTACTCTTTCAGATTCTTACACTAGGGAGACAATATGATGTTTACACATGTGGGTCTGATTTATTTCACTTACGAGTATGGTCTCTAGTTGTATCCATTTACCTATAAAAACCTTAAGTTTATCTTTTTTATAGCTGAGTAGTATTCCATTGTATAAAAATACCACATCTTTTTTATCCATTTGTCTGATGATGGGCATTTGGGTTGTTTTTTCAAGATTTAGCTAAGACAAATTGCGCTGCAACAAGCGAGGATGCACATATATCACTGTGGTATGATGTTTTCAGTTTTTCTGGAAAAACATCCAGAAGGGAAATAGCTGGGTTAAGTGAGACCTTGAATTCCAGTTTTTTGAGGAATCTCCACACTGATTTCCACAATGGTTTCACCAGTCAGCACTCCCGCCAGCAGTTAAGAAGTGTTCCTTTTTCCCCACAGTTCCTCCAGCATCTGTTATTGGTTGATTTCTCGATGACAGCCATTCTTTCTGGGGGAGTTGGAATCTCAGTGTTGTTTGAATTTGCGTTTCTCAAATAACCAGTGATATTGAACATTTTTTCATATATTTATTTGCCATTTGTATTTCTTCATCTGAGAAGTATGTATTCATCTTAGATGCCCATTTTTGCATTGGGTCTTTGAATTTTGGGGGCCTGGTTTTTTTTTTTTTTCTTTATAGGTTCTAGATAGAAGTCCTCTGTCTGAGGGACAATTGGTTAAAATTTTTTCCCAATTTGTGGGTTTTCTTTTTTACTCTATTGGTGATTTCTTTTGATGTACAAAAACTTTTCAATAAGATCAGATCCCAGTTGTTGATTCTTCAAAGTATTTCCAGTGCAGTTTGGTTTGTGTTCATGAACTCTGTGCCTACCCCTAAAACTAGGTAATTTTAAGGGAATAAAATGTACATTTAGAAATAGGAAATTTGCTCTATTTCTTACAGATACATATTTCAGTTATAGTTTTGTCTAATGTTATTTTTATTTTACAAACTGGCTAAGAAGCTTACATGTGAACTGGCTATGTTGCTTCTGTGTGATTTCTTCCTTTCTTTCCTTTCCCATCTTCCCTCCCTCCCTTCCTTTTTTATTTCTCCCTTCCTTCTTTTCTTCCCCTCTTCTCCTCCTCCCCTCCTTTCTGTCTTCCTTCCTTCTTTTCTCTCTTTCTCTGTCTCTGTCTATCTGTCTGCCTGTCTGTCTGTCTCTCTCATTTTTTCCCCAGTGTTAGGGGTTGAACTCAGAGTCTTTACACCAAACCGTATCCCGAGCTGTCTCTCTCTCTCTTTTCTTCTTTTCGAGACAAGGTCTTGCTAAGTCACTAAGTTGTCCAGACTGGGCCTGAACTTGGGATTCTCCTGACTTAGTCTCTCAGAGTCAGCTGAATCTTTTCTTAAAGGAAAACGTCTTTTTGCCTTGATTTATATGCTGGTATCTATTTGGTTAGATGTAAAGCCTTTTGTAGCTTCTAGTAGGTCTTAGCAGTGACTACTTCTTTTTTTTTTTTTTTTTTTTTTGGTCTTTTTGAGACAGGATCTCACTGTACAGTTCAGGTCAGCCTTGAGCTCATTTTGTAGCCCAGGCTGGCCTCGAACTTGCAGCAATCCTCCTGCCTCAGCCTTCTGAGTGCTGGGATTATAGGCATGTGCCACCACACCTGGCGTGGCTACTTCTTTTAAAGTCATTCTAGAAATTGCTGCTTTCATAACATCTTTCTAAAGTATTTGCTAAGGGAACTGGTTCCCATTTCTCTTGGGTTCTTTTTATTCCTCTCATATGAGTATGAAAAGACTCACACTAGATGTCACATTATAAGTGATGTTTTATTAGGGAATGATCATTTTCTACTCTTAGACATAAAGGAAAATTTTTTGGATGGCACCACTTTGCTGAGTTTTACTGGAAATTTGTACAAAGTTAACATTATTCACAGCTTCCTAGTTCCAGCCGGAGCATTCTGCCTTGGGTGTATACTTCTTAGAATTATTTTTAGAAAAGCTTGTGTCATTTCCGTGAACTTAGTAACATTTTAAAATAGCAATGGTACTTTCCAATAAAGACAGGACCAGATCTTTGATTGCTTAATAAGAGATACAGGCCCTTGCTAATGGTTATTCCCTAGTAGTATTCTTTTATTCTTAAAATTAATATAAACCAATGGAGGTAGAGTGTATAAAGAACTGTAAACATGGTATAATAAATAGATAAAACAGCAGTTTCTGCCATGAACATGATGTGATTGATGATCCCTATACAAGCACTAAGATCCTAGTGTAGCTATATTTTTGCTAAATGTGTTATAAAGTTATAATGGAAAGGCACATTTTCCAAATTCAAGATAACTTCATTAACCAGGTACAAAATATGTTGTAAATAATAAATGTAAAATAGCAGCAAACCATATAGTTTCTTAGATCAGTTTCTGAGAACTCTATTTAAAAACAAATGTCTGTAGAGGCCTTTAACCAATATAAATGTATTTGCAAGAATTATATTTTATTTTTCCAACAGTTATTGTCAACCATGTAAATTGGATTTTGTTTTTATTTTAAATTGGCTCTATTTGTGAAGTTACACTGTAACTTTGGATCCTACTAGAGTTGCCTTTAATCATATTTTCTCAGACCCTAAATTGGTTATTTTTTCAGGTTGTGACATTTGCATAAACTTCATGAACTCATCTTTTTCTAGCAAAGGGCAAAGGCTTTTTTTCTTTTCTTTTTTCTTTTTTTTTTTTTTTCCGCGGCAGTGTGTACTGAGCCTGGGACCTCACACTGAGCTCCATCTCCAAACTAACTAACTAACTAACTGTCTCTCTTTCTCTCTTTCTCTCTTTCTCTCTTTCTCTCTTTCTCTCTTTCTTTCTTTCTCTTTCTCTCTTTCTCTCTTTCTCTCTTTCTCTCTTTCTCTCTTTCTCCCTCTCCCTCTTCCTCTCCCTCCCTCCCTCCCTCCCTCCTTCCCTCCCTCCCTCTTCTTTTTTAGAGAGGCTCTTGCTATGTAGTTCAGGCTATCCTTGAACTCATGAGTGATTCTCCTGCCTCATCCTTCCAAATGCTGGGATTACAGGCATGCACCACCACACCTGGTGTGAACAAAGGCTTTCAAACTGAAAGTTTCAGTAAGGGTTGATTAATGCATTGGACTGTCATTTATGTATATATTTAGTTACCATGGAATCTTTGTCAACATTTGTATATCTGAATCCTTTCTTCCTCAGGAGGAATGTGGCAAGCCAAAAATGACTAATTAACCAATGACCTATGGTCAGTTCTTGTAATCCCAGCACTCAGGAGCATGTGGCAAGAGGACTGCTGCAAGTTCAAGGCCAGCCTGGGCTTCATAGTCCAAGGCCAGCCTGAACTACATGGCAAGACCCCCCCAAACTGTGTGCCTGTTAGCAGTTCTGGGTTGGTGACCTCCGCAGCACCCTCTCTAGACTATATGAGTTCTCCAGACTATATGAGGAAATCCAGGAGCTCAGATCTGTGTTCTTCAGTTCCAGGGGCCTCTAGGTAGTTTGACTGCTCTATATCTTTCAGAATCTTCCTGTGTTTTTTTTTTCATGTCTGGGTCATTTCATTTGTAAGGGGAGGGACATGGAAGAATGGGGCTACTCCATGTTGGCCAGAAGCGGAAGTCACATCCTTTTTAAAATAGCTCTCAGTGGAAGCAGCAGGATATTTTAAGATAGTGATTTACAAACTGAACTCTCAAAATGTCTACTTAATTTTTCTTTAAAAGGGTGGAGCGGCGGAGGGGCAGCTAGGCCAAAATAAAAACTTGAAACCACTACTCCAGAACACTCCACTAAGTACTAAATCCAGAATTTGACTTTACATGTCTCTCTCTTACAGTCTTTGAGCCATTGGGAAGCAGGGACTCTTCTGCTTATTTCTGTTTTTCTAGCACTTTAAAATGCCCAGCATGTACCACATGCTCATGTTCCGTACACACTTATAAAGGGATGGAGGCATTTATGCTGCTCTGTCTTCTCTGTCCTTACAGTTCCTTTACTACCTTATCCATCTTAGGGGCTCTTTTTCTTTTGCCAGGTATCCTGGATACAGCCATTGTCGACCGAGGGCGGAATGTGGTGTCTGGCTCTCGAGATGGAACGGCACGGCTTTGGGACTGTGGGCGCTCAGCCTGCCTGGGAGTCCTTGCAGACTGCGGTTCTTCCATTAACGGAGTGGCAGTGGGTGCTGCTGACAACTCTATAAACCTTGGCTCCCCTGAGCAGATACCTAGTAAGTTGATGATAATATAGGAGCTAGTTTTGTTTTCTTGAGTCCACTTCAGTGTTTACCTGTTCAGTTTCTCCTGTTCTTTCTCATCCTTGCTCAACAGCTGGTGTTTTGATTTTCATGCTGATTATTATTTGTTTATCTATTATGTTTGTATTGCTTTGGAATCAACACAGGAAGCGTATGTCATAATCATTGTATTGTAGTACAGTATAATTCAGCAGATAAGACTACTGCCTGTCAGTCATTTTGTGAAACTGAGCCTGGCAGCATGCACCTATAATCCCAGAACTTAGGGAGGGTGAGGCCAGCCTTTGCAGCTCAGTGGCTTAGTGAGAACCTGGCTCAAAATTAAAAATAAAAAGCACTGGGGTACGCCAGGTATGGTGGCACATGCTTGTAATCCCAGTACTCAGGAGGCTGAGGCTGGGCATTGTCATAATTTTGAGGTCAACCTGGGCTGTATAGTGAGTTTAAGCCCAGCCTGAACTATGTAGCGAGATCCTGTCGCAAAAAAAAGGACTAGGACTCAGTATAAAGACCCTGAGTTCAATCCCTACCTAATATTGAAAAAAAAAAAAAGTAATCAATAATGCTCACCTGAAAAATGTTAGTGATTCTTAATGCAAATATAGTAGGTTTTCAGGGGAAAGGAGTGTAACAGGTTCCTCAGCCTCCCAAGTGCTGGGCTTATGGCTGTGTGCCACCACGCCTGGCACACCTGAATTTGAGAGACTATTAGATATCTGATAGATAGCTCAGCCTTACCTTGTCTAGCAGGGTGTATTTGATCCCGCCAGTCTCTTTGTTCCTACTTCAGAAAGTGATACCATGCCGGTTGTGGCAGTGCATGCCTGAGGCAGGAGGATTGTCATGAGTTTGAGGTCAGCCTGAACTATGTATTGAGACCCTGTCTCAAAAATAGAACAAAACAAAGCAAAAAAGCCGGGCATAATGGCACACACCTATAATCTCAGCGCTGGGGAGGCTGAGGCAGGAGGATTGTTGCAAGTTTGAGACCAGCCTGAGCTACAAAGTGAGCTCAAGGCCAGTCTGAACTGCACAGCAAGTTCAATCTCTCATTGCCTGCCTTAAAAAGACAAAAAAGTGATACCACCATTTACCCACTTTGCTCAAGCTCAAAACCTGAGATTAACCCACCCTCCCTTTCTTCGTGTCCCACATCAGCAGTAACACCTCTGCCTTTAATGTTTCCAGTTTTTTCACTGTTCCTTCTCACTCCCTTTTTTTTGTCCCTCCCTCCTGCCAATATTTTGGTCTACTCTTTCATCACCTGTTGTCTGTATTACTACCTGTGCTGTTCTCCAAGAATCCCATTCTTGGGCTGGGGATATAGCTCAGCGGTACAAGCATCTGCCTGGCAAAGTGCAAGGTCCTGAGTTTAATTCCCGGTACCCATTAAAAAAAAAGAGAGTCCATTCTCTTCAGAGCAACCATTGTGGTCATGAAAAACACATGGTGATGCACACCTGAAGGCACTACTCAGGAGGTGGAGGCAGGATGATGGCAAGTTCAAGACTGGCCTGGGCAACTTAGTAAGACCTTGTCTCATGAAAAAACAGAAAACAAAACCAAAAACTTTTTTTTTGGTGGGGGGGCAGTACTGGGGATCAAACCCAGGGGTGTTCTATCACTGAGCTACATCCTCAACCATGCCCCCCCACCACCCTTTTTTTTAGTTTTAAGACTAGGGCTTGGTAAATTGCCCGAGTGGAACGCAAATCTTTAACCCTTCTGCCTCAGCTCCCTCCATGCTGGGACTATGGGCCCATGCCATTATGCCCAGTTTCACTAAATGAGTTATAGCCATTAGTCTTATCTGCTAAATTATACTGTATTTTAATATAGTAGTTAATATAGTTGCATTTGTTGAGTATTTTTTATATATAGCTAAAGTCACCTTTTTGTGGTATTGAGATTGAACCTAGAGTCTTTGCATTGGGCTCATCCTCGCCCTTTTTCAACTTTGAGGCAAGATCTCACTAAATTTGCTAAATTGCCTGGGTTGGGCTTGAATTTGTGATCCTCTTGCCTTTCAGTCTCCCGGAGTGCTGTGATTATAGGTGTGCAACACCACACCTAGCTAAAGTCACACCGCCCCCCAAACCAGGGATCGATCTCACGACCTTGCGCTTGCCGAGCAGGTGCTGTGCTGCTGAGCTAAATCCCCAGCCCCAAAGTCACCCTTTTTAATCGCACAGATCTGTAAGGTTTTACATTTTTCATTTTAATTTTTTAGGTCTGTAAGTTTTCACAAATGTGTACTATTGTATAAACAACGCCACAGTGAGAAAATAGAACATAACTTTAAAAAAAATTAATCAGTGAATCTCTAACATATAGTACAGTCGCTCGGCATAGCTGTCATTAACAGGGCTCATCTGTTGTGCAGGTGAACGGGAGGTTGGAACAGAAGCAAAAATGCTGCTGGTGGCCCGGGAAGATAAGAAGCTTCAGTGCCTGGGACTGCAGAGCAGGCAGCCGGCAAGTGGTTCCTATAAGACCTTTGCAGCCTGGGGTCACTCTGATTCTTGGCAAGCTGTTTAGAAACATTTCTACTTGCTCCTTGTGTTCCCTTTGTGAGGAGGCTGCGTGTCTGAGAGGAAGTGCGTGTAGTGACTAAGCATGGGATGTGGAATGGGGCAGCATTTAAATCACAGCTCCTAGCACCTAATGGCTCTGACATTGGAGAGACTTCTTAGCCTCTCTGAGCCTAAGTTTTTTTTTTAATCACTAAACTGGACATACTAGGACTTAATTCACAGGATTATGTGATGAAGATAAAGTGGTCTACTCCTTTGTGGCCTTTTTAAAGTCACTTTCCCAGCCGG